TATGTGGGACAGGATTCGAACCTCAAAATCCTTTTGGTTAGAAATGGAGTGCTTTAGCCTGTGATGTTGTTTGATAGTATTAATAATAATAATAATAATTTACTCTATTCCAAAATAGTACTTATGATATTGTGTGAAATTATCAGCATGCCTGCTTGGCCATCGATTGCCTTCCTCGGTGGGTGATGTTAGCTGGCATAGGATTAGCTTGGAAAAGAGGAAGCTAGTGGTGGGTGGTTAAACCAAAGCATGACTTCAACAGTCCATGAAATCTCTAACAGTTAATGTCGGTGTCAGCCATGTGGAGAGGCGTAGATTTCCTGGCTGGTAAGTCAGGGTTTTCGAGTTGACGGTAGGAACTAATGACAGCTAATGGTATGGTTCAAAATCGTTCTCAATCATTAGCGCTGATGCATTCACTCTTTGTGATTTTCATGTATCCACTAACATCCGATTGTTCTTCCATATTACTATTCTGTTCACCTCATATCTCTGTTTGCTATCTCTCTCTTTTGAATGTCTCTTAACTCTCTTCTCCTTCTTTGTGTGGTAAATAGAGAGTGGCAAGTTGGACTGTTACGCATATGTGCTAAGTAGTTCTATGTGGAGTCCAGTCCGTCATTTTGTTCCTCTACCATGCGAATGGAACATAGAGCTTCAAATTTTGACGTCTCAGTGGCAGTGATGTTACTCTCTCTCTCTCCCTCTGGGGTTAAGTGGTTGCTAGTCTCACGCCCAACCTTCCCTCTCTACCAGGCTTACTTCTGGCTAAACGAGGTTTAGGAATGTGTTTGCCGGGGATCGAACACTTGACCATGTATCGCTTAACCACCTACGCAGAAGAAAATAAGTAATGCCATATTAGTTTGTTTATTAGATATATCACACAGTCAGTGAAATAGTGTTATTATTTACTGGACGACACAGTTTCGAATAAAATTTATTATTGTTCATAATCATGTCAATCGTATTTACACGACTTCGAAACTTGAGTTTTATAGCTTTCTTTGTCTTCTCCTATTTGTCCTCGTAGGGGTAGTAGAATTTTCCAAGTGTCTGGGACAGGTGACGAATCATACCTATTACATGTATTCCTTCTGAGTTGATTCGATAAACCAAGCTTCTGTTATCAATCTCTGCCTATACCCTGTGACATTAGATTTTGAAACTGTCTGTCATCCTATCCCATCCTATTGTATGGTTGTGTGTAAAATTGCATTTAGTGTATGCTATAGCTGAACTATTCTCTAGATTTCTTATATTATTTGGATCAACCAATGTAGATTTCGCTAGGTTTTTATGTTCGGCTAGTCTGACTGCTCCTGTTCCACTAGTTTGATCTATATATTTGACCTTACAATCACTGCCGGTAGGGCATTAGATAAACTAAATTGTTTTGTTTTAAAGGCTCCACTGTCAGGATTGATCCTTTAACCGACAAAGTTTGTTTCTAATTGAGTTTGTGGCTGGTTTGAATACCAGTCACTTTTATTCCTGCCTTGTTAGGAATTCTGCGTAAGGGTTCCGAGGTTCCTTCCTTGCATGGAATTACTACTGATGGTGATGACTAATTTATCCGGGTATGTAAGGAAATGTAAAAATAAAATAAATAGTGATAGTAGCGATAGTGATAATAATGATAATAATAATAATATTAATGACGACATCAACAATAGGATGACAGACAGTTTCAAATCTAATGTCACAGGGTATAGGCAGAGATTGATAACAGAAGCTCTGTTTATCGAATCAACCGAAGAGAATACGTGTAATAGGTATGATTCATCACCTGTCCCAGACATTTGGAAAATTCTACTACCCCCACGAGGACAAATAGGAGAAGACAAAGAAAACTATAAAACTCAGGTTTCGAAGTCGTGTAAATACAATTGACATGATTATGAACAATAATAAATTTTGTTCGAAACTGTGTCATCCAGTTAAATAATAACACTGTTTCACTGTGTGATTTAATAAACAAACTAATATGGTATTACTTGCTACCACTGCCGAAGTGATAGGTGTAAACTTAAGAGGAAAGGATGCGAGGAGTAGATTTTTCTTGAAACGTTCCTACAAATGATTGATTGTACGTGTATTATTATTCTCAGATATTCTATAGATGAGTACTTTATGAAGTCTCTTTCATCATTATGTAACTAAATCAAGTTATTATTCTTCGTATACGTCTGTGATTCAACGGCAGAATACTTGTCAACCATGCACATTTCATCGGGGTTCGATCCCCGGTCCACGTACAACTAAACTTCGCCTAGTTGGAAAATAGGGGAGGTTAGAAGTGAGACTAGCAAACCCATTCCTTAAAAGCAAACAATGCCGCCACTACCTACTAAATCTTCGAAGCCTAAATCTTGATTACGGATGTTCCACTCAGAACGCAAAGGAAAAGAAAGTATTCTTTGTAACTCAGTTCTTTTACATTGACAACATTCAGAAGACATCATGTATCTCCGGGTCAGTTCATGAGAGCCTATAATACAGTCTTGTTATAACAGGTTGAAATAGGCGAACCATCTCTCGACATTTACAAGATCCACATATATGACATTCCCCCGCCCCTCCACGTCCCCACTGAAATGTCTGTCTGTCTATTTTCGACATAGAACTTTCCACATATGTGCGACAGTTCAAGTCGCCACACTCCATGTAGCATACAAAGCAAGAGAAAAAAACTAGAAGAAATGCATAAGAGTGACAGTAAACAGAGGTGTGAGATAAAGGAATAGTAATAACGAAGAACAAAACAGTTTCATTGGAAATCACAAGTCATAAGGAGTGGATGCATCTGCACCATCATCCAGAACGATTTCGAGCCATATCACCAATTGTTTCCAGTCTTCATTCGTTTTTAGTGTCCCGAGTACCCCTACCAGTCAGTCAGGAAGTGTAAACCTTCCCACGTGACTTAAACTAACTGTTATGGATTTCATTGACTGGTGTCATGTTTTGGTTTGACCGCCGCTAGCTCTTTTCCAGCCTGACCCTATATCAGCTAACATTGCCCACTGTCGAGGAAGGCGATGACTAGGCATACGTAACACATGTCCTAACCATCTCAGTCTATGTAATTTCACAGCCTCGTCGATTGATTTCCCCTCTTTACCTAGCACTCGACGCCTAACCTCAATATTGCTCACCTTATTACACGTACCACTTCACACGGGAGATAGAACGCAGGCACCTATGATCAAAGACAGCTAGCCAACCTTTTCATATCTTCCACTCTCAGTGGCCAGGTCTCACTCACAGCCATAAAGGAGGACGGAGCGGACTGATGAGCAGTGCACCTGCCCTTTGGTCGATAATCGAACATCTCGTCTACACCAGAGTCGGCGTAAACTGATAGGCATATGCGAAACGAGCCCCCTGTATCCGTGCTGAGATTTCGTCAGAGATCAACCCGTTGGCACTGGCTGATGGTACTTTCCAAATAAGTGAAGCGGTCAACAGGCTCTACCACTTCACTTACTATTTCTAAACTAGGAGTCAGTGCAGTCCAGTCCTGTAACATCATCTTGCATTTAGCTGGAGCTAATCGCTTGCCAAACACTCGCAGGTTGCAGCTCACGGTGTTCAGAAGACTCTGCTCTATTTTTCCACCATCCTCGCCTAGAAGGATTATATCGTCTGCATACATCTCGGTCGACAGAATCGAATACCGCCATAAGGTTAAGAAATATAATGATTGTTGGACGCCGGTAGGAATGTCTATGTTCTAGAATTTGTCGAAGGGTGAAAATATGATCAATACATCCTCTTCATTGATACAAGTATAAAACTTGCGCACTGTGGCAGAGTACAACTGCATTATAGATAAGATTTTATTTTGATAAATCACACAGTGTTGTACAGTTATATGAACTGATCAGTTCATGTAACTGTACAACACTGTGTGATTTATCAAAATAAAATCTTATCTATAATGGAACATCCTCTTCCTGGTCTGAAGCCTGCCCCACTGAACTAATCTGTTGTTGTGATACATTTTAATGATGGTTCGTGTATATTTGGCTGTCAGAATGGCTTTATTTAAACCATTGTGTTGAGAATGATTTTTGTTTATCTAACGGCGGCAGTATTATTTAATTTGATTTTAGATTTTCCACCTCGATTGATTGTACCGAAGTGCTCGGTCTCAGTTTGACATGTCGGCTTCTTGTGGTCTATCCAAGTGGTCTAGTGGATAACGCTTTGACGTTTGAAACTATAGACAGTAGGTTCGAGCCTCGGCGGTGAGAACATCATCACTCACTCACTGCAGAATGCAGGTACATCCGGTTGGTGGACGAGTCCCGAATAGGACGAAATGTGCATTCCGGTTGGATTCCACTGCTTAGTCATCATTCACCAATTAACTTCTAACGACAGTATTGTTGAATAACTCATCAAGACTTTGTTTGCATAGATTTCATTAGCTTCAAATTTGATCATAGATTGATATCGATTAGTAAATCAGGAAGTACTGGATATTCATTTCGTCCTGGTTTGAGTTTCTTCACTGACACGCACCCACTACCCCCTACCAGGGATTGAATCCTGAACTACTGAAGTTTTACGATTTCATGTGTGAAGACAAATACTCACCAATGACACTGTCTGATGGTTCTCAGAATGCGCAGGTCATTAGACTTCAGCCTAGGTGGCTGAATTGTTAATGAGCTTGGCCTAGTAACCTGAAGATTCCAGGTTCAATCCCCGGGTGCTGGTATCGCGGGTGTTTACTGCTGTCTAAATACTCCCCACCTTTCAATGTTTGCCTGAGGAATATCAAAGTATGATCAAACTTGGCAAGTATTTATGTAGACGTGACTGAATGACTTCAACACTTGATCTACTCAGCTTTGTGGACCCTGAGATTGAATTCCTCTCCATTTACTTATTCCTGGGCAACTGGCTGGTATCACCAATTGCCGCATAATAAGTATAGTGTTCACAGTCATCAATTTTGAAAGATGTCACATAATTTACTTCTTTTTTCAGATTATCCATTGGTGAAATTAATCGAACGTATACACAAAAAGAATGTCAAAAAAGCCACGTGTTGAATTCATTCAAAATGCCGAACCATCATTTATACGTGAATTTAAAGAACGTGCGGGTATACCTGCAGCCGATACGATTGAATCAAAGGTAATCAAAGCTATTCTCTGTTTTATAAATATATATATTCTTCTACAAGTGCTGTTAGTTTGTGGGAATTTCATTGGTTCAAGGTGTGATCACGAGCTGTTCTCACTTAGAGGGAGCCATTGGAGTACTGGACACCTACCTGTTTCGTCCGAGTTTGAGACTCTTCAGGATTACTCACCTACTTGAGTTTGAACGTTAGGACCTTACGGTCACAAGGCAAGCTTGTAGACCATTCAACCACTGGGACCCGATGCAATGACCTCTGGTACCCGAATTCTGTATATACAGTTCAACAACCAACCAATGTCATCGGCATTCAGCTATTCCCTTACCTGATTTCGTATACCCCTCTGGTTATGACTTGTCAGTGGGACCAGTACTCCATAGTTCTCCAATGTTTGTCTTAATAATGTCAGCTCTCGATCGAATCTGTAATAAGACAATAATTATATTCAGTTTATTTCGTAGTCCATGTTATACGAATTATTCTATTCAACGTTTCCTTGTTTGAATTTTCCTTGGGATTACAAAATCTCGAGGCACTGTTTTAACCTTTACTTCAAATCCCGTCAGCTTCAGTTACCTAACCGTACGCATATACACATGCGTGCATTCATATAACAAGAGTATGTATCGATTCTGCGGAAATAACATGCTTCTCATTGGTTGTTATGCCGTTCGAGATCCATTAAGTCCTCGTTCTTCTGTCGGTTTCGCCTGATTATTTAGTTTTTCTGAAATTACTACCTTAAGCGTTATTGATCAGTCTCTCTTTGATGCATAACCTAAGCCTACCTTTACAGATAATGCGTATGTTATGAATTTAAGTTTTAAATGTCCAACAGAGAGTGTGTTAGCTTTTTATAAACGCTAGTGTATAACTTATCTTGTCCTGTACCTTTTATCGTAATAATAGCCTTACTGCACACAGTGTTTTCTCGTACAAAGATTGGCTTTTCAGTATGTAGTACAGTAGTACCGCATCTAGTTTTCTCATTACACGGGTGACAACTTAAAACAGACCATTTATTAATTACTGTTATTATTGTCTCTTTTAGTTCCTAGAGGAACATAGAACTTCAGCCAAACGTCTCCATTGCGTTCGGTTCTCCGCCAACCTTCTCACCTGACTCCGCGCCCGCCCACATGCTTTCATCTCCTATTCGTATTACCTCCTCCATGTCACCCCACCCCCACACTGACGACCGACTAACTGGCAGCTTTCCATTCGAGTTCCACTCGAGTGATTGCCTCGTGTGTGATATCACTTCATTGTTTGTTTTTTCTGAATACGGGCAATCCACCTCGGTTTCTTCCTGTATATTTGTTGCACAAATGGTTCCTGCTTAGTTGGTTCGCTTCCAGAGATCCCTCCCTATTGTTGATCTTTTCCGGCGAAGACAGTTGTTGATGAAAATCTGTAGTTTGTTCGAAGTGCCCTTCGTGACGCGGTGTCAACTATCTGATCCGTATAGTAGCACTGACTTCACATTGGAGTTGAAAATCCGGATCTTATTTTTCATGCTAAGTGTTGCTGACCTCCACGCAGATTTGAGAGTAGTGAAAGCTTGCTTTGCTTTCCCGATCCTCGCCTTGAAATCCTCGTCAGTTAAGTCCACCTGTAGTTGAAACGATGCTTCCCAGGTAGCTAGGTACGTAGGTGAAGGAAGGAGGTCGCCTCTCTCGGATTTATTGTTGTTGTCGCTATTGCTATTGGCCAGGAATCTTCATCACCTCTGTCTTCTCTATGTTCACCTAAAGTCCTATCCTCGCTGGATGCTTCTCCTGCCAACTTATTGGTTTTCACTTGCAAATCTTCCAGTTTGTGGGAAATCACATGTATGTCACATTGGCGAAGTCCAGATCCTCCAAGTCTTTTGTGTGGGTCAATTTTTATGTTTGTATCCTCGCTGCAAGCCGCTGTCTGTCGTATTATCCAGTCTACCGCAATCAGAAAAAAATCATTGGAGATAGTTTGTTAACTCTTGTATCTTACTTATTCGTTTTTATTGCTTTCCCCTCCTCAGTATTTCCCATTCTACCTACAAAAGACTATTTTATATTACAAAAGGTATTAAGGCCTTTCAATAGGGAAAGTGTTGTGTCACTAAATCACCCAGCTCGATATTACTGTAGTCATGTGAGGAGTGATCCAAATCCATACTGTCTGATTCTCAACACCCACCCTCTATTCACAACTCTCTCCACCTTGTGTCTTATCGGGTAGGACTAAATGTCATTATAAAAGATTATATGCTCTCTCGTACAACCAAGTACGAGAAACTCAACGATACCATGTTTGGCCCGATGGCGTCCTATATGATGATAGTGTTAGGCGTAAAACTCACTATGTTATTAACAAAATAATTGGCGCTTTTGCAGTCTCTCTCTCTCCTATTTGTGATGTATGGTGGTGACCAAATGCTGAGCAGTGTTTTGTAATAAAGCAAATGGTTATTTTGATTGGACACTAGTAACTAGTGTGATGTGTCTAGTCCTTTCTTTGGTGCAGACTGAATTCTCTCAGTCAAGTTTTGCAATGCGGCCACCATTCTAGGTAGGTCGCCATCACGGTGCACACTGATTTGATGATATTAGATGGTTAGAGGTAATCAGCAAGAAGCACTACCTGACATAGATTTCGTGATAGTTGACACTCACAAGTCAGTAAGGCGTATCTACAACCTTGAAGGAAGTTATGTTCCTTCTGAGATTCGAACCCGCGTCACCCAGTTCTACCTGCAGTCAGAGACCTTACCACTGAACCGTCTAATATCATGAAATCAATGTGCATCGTGATGGCGAGCTGTGCGGGCGGTTGTTACCTCCCGGCTGCCTACACCGTGGAAGTTGATTGATTCTTCGCGTACGTGAAACAGAAAGGGGTTAGTATTATGTGACCGCAGAGCCTAAGGGACAACTGCTTGAGGCCGGTCACATATGGCCTGTTTGGTGAACTGACTTCCAGGTTTGGTTCTGTATTAGTAACTTACCACCGGTTACGGACCACCCCGTAGGTAGAGTAATTCGAGATGTACAATTTTTGGGTTCGACTTTTACTGACCTTCTCTCTTTCTAAACTGGAGAGACAGCATAACTGCTGACATTCTGTTCATCTGAGGGAAACATCTTACTGTGACTATTACATCCCTTTTCTCACACAGTACAACTTTGCCCACCAATCCTCGGCACAGTGTAGAAGAAAAAACTTACACTATGCCACCGGTAACTGCCATTAGTCTAATCGCTATCGTAAGAATCTTCATGGTATGGTAGGACCTTCAAAAACATTAGTTTTAGGTAGTGTAGCATGTTGGGTCATTGTGATATGCGAACCGGACGACCACCATATCAAGGTAGCAACTATCGATCGGGTGATGGCGAGCTACCTAAAATGGTCTGCACCAAAGAAAGGACTAGACACATCATACTAGTTACTAGTGTCCAATCAAAGCACCCAATACAGTCCCACAGGAGGTCAATCACGAGCTCGAATAGCTCTCAGTGGTAACGTCTCTAACTGCAGATAGCACTTGGTGACGTGAGTTCGAATATCAGAATGGGGGGCATGAGTTCCTTCAAGGTCGCAGATACGCCTTGCTGACTTGTGATTGCCAACTAGCACGAAACCTAGGTCAGGGTGGGGCTTCCTGTGGTCGATTGCTTCCAACCATCTAATATCAAATGATTATTTCACAATTGTCGCTTTGTGAAGATTTGATTGGTTACAGGATTTCATCATGAGCTGACATTGATTAGAGAACCATTGGAAAAAATGGGAGTAATGGGCAGTTGTTTCCTCCTAGTTTTGGACTCTTCATCAGTACGCACCCACCCACTAGCGACTTGCCCTATTCGGGTATGCAGTTACCTGGGGTTCTAGTGAGAAGTCGTGACCAGTAGGGTGCAGCAGGCCGATTGTGAGGACAAATACTCGCCGAAGACATTGGCTAGGGGTCACGCTATGTCGTGAATTGACAGAAGTTGGAATTCATGGGCCATTGGATCGGGTTTCGAACCCAGGACCTCCTGGTTACAAAGCGAGCTCGTATACCATTCAGCCACTGGGACCCGATCCAGTGGCCCATGAATTCCAACTTCTGTCAATTCACGACATAGCGTGACCCCTAGCCAATGTCTTCGGCGAGTATTTGTCCTCACAATCGGCCTGCTGCACCCTACTGGTCACGACTTCTCACTAGAACCCCAGGTAACTGCATACCCGAATAGGGCAAGTCGCTAGTGGGTGGGTGCGTACTGATGAGGAGTCCAAAACTAGGACGAAACAGCTGTCCAGTACTCCCAGTTGGTTTCTGATATGTATCCACATATATATATTTATGTGTGTGTGTGCATGTTGGTCTCTCTTTCTGTTTGCTCGGTTAGTCTGTGACCACTTCACTTGTGTGAACTTGTCTCCTTTAATAATGTGTATTCTCCTTATATTATATTATATATAATATGAGTGTTTGTTGACAGTCCGTTGCTTGGTGACATATATCCATATATGTTTGTTGGCATGTCTGCTATATTCGCTATGTATAATTGGATCGACACTCCATTATAATTAGCCATTCATGTTAAGACTGTCTAATGATTTTTCCCACGCTTGTCTGAATTATTTATATATATTCGCATTCACAATTTGTGTGAACTACTTTACTTTACAACTACTTTACTTACTTACCACTTTGGTGTGAGACCATTTATTTTCGTCTCCTTGTGTTTGGACAATAGAAGTATCATCGCAAACCTAGTGGTCTTCTGATTTCCGCCTTCTCGCGTCAGGACTATTAGTTTCTCGACCAGTCCATAACAATAATTTAGCGACGAGTACATAACAATTTGGCGACGGGGAAAACTAGTACATAACAATTTGGCGACGGGGAAAAACTACTATTAACCACTCAGCAGCAGCAACATAACAATTTACTATGGATCCTATTAAATTGGAATTATTGTTTGAACGACAAATGAAATTAATGGAAATGTTCGTCAACCAACAGACTGGTCCAGCTCCACCTTCAAGCAATCCCAATCATACCATGCTACCATCTGTCGACGGAATTGTGAACAGCATTTCACAGTTCAATTATGACCCAGAGGCTAATGTCACTTTTGACACATGGTATCAACGTTATGAGGATTTATTCACTGTTGATCTCGCCTCACAAGACGATGCCTGGAAGGTGCGAGTTTTGCTACGTAAATTGGGTCCGGCAGAATATGAACGGTACTGCAACCTAATTTTACCACAGAAACCACGTGACAATTGTTTCGATGATACAATAAAGTTGCTGCGTGAACATTTCGGAGACCACTCCTCATTATTCAGTATACGTTATCGTTGCCTCAAGCTGGCAATGAATGAAAATGATGATTTTCTTACTCACGTTGGCACAGTCAACCGAGAATGTGAGAGATTTCGACTCAGGTCCTTAACAGATGATCAGTTCAAAGCCTTGATTCTCATATGCAGTCTCCAATCTCCTCGTTTCACAGATATCCGAACTCGACTGCTCAATCAGCTAGAACAAAATCCCAAGTTAACATTACATGACATAGCTGATGAATATCAACGGCTGATTAATCTGCAGAAAGACACACACTTGGTCGAATCAACACCTCCGAGAAGCTCTGATATTCGTGCATTACGCAAGAGCAAAAATCTCTCATCAGCTACTCCTGACCCACCTACTTCTCTAATGTCCCGCGGAAATCTACAGATACTCGTCCAACTTCACAAAATACTGCAAAGAAGACCCCTCCATCACCATGCTGGCATTGTGGCGCGTGGCACTTTGTAAAGTCTTGCCCATACAAAAATCATCGTTGCAGCAAGTGCAAAATCATCGGTCATAAAAATGGTTTTTGTCAGCCACGCAAACCCAGATATCAAAATCCAGCAAAAGCTCAACAAAATGTTGGTCCTAAATCCCCCAAAAAGTCAATGAGTCTACGTGCAACCTGTCAAGTCACAACACCAGCTATGCGGAAATATCTTGATCTTCAGATGAATGGTCATGATGCACGTCTGCAGCTAGATACCGCCTCTGATATTACTGTTATATCAGAGAAACTTTGGAATTATATTGGCAGACCACCTATCACCAATACTTCCCAGTCTCTTGTCAGCGCCTGTGGTGGGCGGCTCAAACTAATTGGTGAACTCAAATGTTCTGTTTCCTTCCGCAATACCAAATTCACAGGAATTTGTTACGTCACGAAGAATGATTTAAATGTTTTGGGACTTGATTGGTTCGATCGTTTGCATCTGGCTGATGTCCCACTAAATTCTCTACGCAATGCAGTCAAGAAGCATAAAATGCTAGACAATTCCGGACGGAGCCGAAGCCGCAAACCCAACAATCAGACGAAACGACAGGCGTCAACAACAAGCCCAAAGGTCCCAGATAAACCCCCAGGTAAACATCCTACTAATCATCATCTTCTCAAAAGGGGAGGTGATATGTATCCACATATATATATATATTTATGTGTGTGTGTGCATGTTGGTCTCTCTTTCTGTTTGCTCGGTTAGTCTGTGACCACTTCACTTGTGTGAACTTGTCTCCTTTAATAATGTGTATTCTCCTTATATTATATTATATATAATATGAGTGTTTGTTGACAGTCCGTTGCTTGGTGACATATATCCATATATGTTTGTTGGCATGTCTGCTATATTCGCTATGTATAATTGGATCGACACTCCATTATAATTAGCCATTCATGTTAAGACTGTCTAATGATTTTTCCCACGCTTGTCTGAATTATTATATATATTCGCATTCACAATTTGTGTGAACTACTTTACTTTACAACTACTTGACTTGCTTACCACTTTGGTGTGAGACCATTTATTTTCGTCTCCTTGTGTTTGGACAATAGAAGTATCATCGCAAACCTAGTGGTCTTCTGATTTCCGCCTTCTCGCGTCAGGACTATTAGTTTCTCGACCAGTCCATAACAAAAATTTAGCGACGAGTACATAACAATTTGGCGACGGGGAAAACTAGTACATAACAATTTGGCGACGGGGAAACTAGAACATAACAGTTTCCCAATGGCTCTCTAACTAATGTCAGCTCATTATGATTTTTTAATTAACTTTGATAATTCATTGAATGTCTGTTTTGTTTTTATTGATTTTTCTTTCAAGAGAAAGCAGTTAGAAATTGATGACAAAGATGATGGTGATGAAAATCGTCCAGAAGAAGAACAACCTCAAATAGTTTATGATCCATGCTCAAATGTTGATGAACTGGAGGCAAGAGCATTTATTAAACAATGGCAATATGAACATAAACTTGGCTATATACCAATTGAAGATGAGAATATGAAAAAAGCGAATTTAGGTAAAGCTTTCTATTTGGAATTGTTTAATTCACAGTGCTACCTTAATTACACCTTTTCCCTTCTATTTTAGATGTACCAAATCGGATTATATATCGATCTGCTGAAGAACGTAACGCTTCTCCTACTCCTGGAAGTATGACCACCAATGGTAGTGGTCAATTGCACATGGAGGGTTTAACACGAGATCATGGGAGAAATAATGATAAGAAGAACACGAAAAAGAACCCTAACAGTCATGATAATAGTCGATCCCAAAAAAAGCATGATCGAGATCGTTCTCCACTTGACTCAAAACGAAAAGATACAAAGTGTTCATTGTTATCATTTGATTTAGAGGCTGAAGAGGAAGATGAGGGATGAAAACTCATCATTTTGTATGTCTGTGTGTGTGTGTGTGTGTGCCATTTATACTTTGTAATATATATAACCAGGATATCATTCTTTTTTTATTAACTTGTAAATTCTCATTCATGAAAAGTGTATATTAATTAGTTTTGCACACATGTCGTATAATGTGAAGGCTAATTTCACATAGAATGTTTATAATTCATAATTGTAAACGTGTGATATAAGATATATGTGTGCTATAAATTTATATGCGTATACACATATTCATGTGTTATAAGTTATTCTTTATTGTGTATGATTTTTATGAAGTGATGGGTAATTTTGGTGCGGTGTTACTGGGTGGGGTTAGGTGGTGGTCAGAATAAGAAATTAAGCGAAGAAATAGTCGTATCTCTTAGGCGTCGTCGAGTGTTAGGTGAGCAGGGAAAGTCAATTGACGAGGTTGTGAAGCAGTCGTATCGGTTGAGATGGTTAGGGCATGTGTTACGCATGCATGCCTGCCTAGCCATCGATCGCCTTCTTCGATGAGAGTAATGTTACCTGACATATAAGATTGATCAGGTTGGAAAGGAGAAAGCTAGTGGTGGATGGTCAAACCAAATATGGCTTCATCAGTCAATGAAATGTATAAAAGTGTCGGTCGGCTACGTAAGGAGGTGTAGATTTCCTGACTGGCTGGTTGGGGTCCTTGGGATGATGGGTAGGAACCAATGACGGCTAATGATATCGTTAAAAAAATCGTTCTCAATGGCTGGTGCAGATGTATTCACTCTTTGTAATGTATAGTATCCAATAAAATTCAATCGTTTGTCCATATTACTATTCTTTTTCCCTCACTCACACTTCTACTTATCGTATCTGTCTTTTAAATCTGGCTTAACTCTCTTCTCTTTCTTTGTGTGATACATAGAGAGTGGCAAATTTGACTGTGGCGCATATGTACTAAGTAGTTCGACGTTGAAAGCAGTGAGTCACATAGTCATGTGTTAGTAGTTGTACAGTGGTTGGTAGAGTGTATCCTTATCTTTAATGATTTTTACCAAGTGATGGGTAGTATCATGGAAATAACAAATTAGTCAAAAGAAATAATATTATTGTTCCGTTGGGTTCCGACTGGAGCAATGGGGCTTCAGCAGCACATCTCCACCTCGTCCTATTTTGTGCGATCCTCTTTATCTGGCCTCACAATTGCCTATAATCTCTGATTTCCTCCATGTCGCCCATGGACGAACGCCCGATTTGTCGTATTCCATTCGTGTTCCACTCGAGCACTAGCCTGACAAGATGATGATACAGGACTGGACTACATCGACGCCTAGTTTAAAAATACGAAGTGAAGTGGTACAGCACGTTGACCGCTTCACTTACTTGGGAAGTACTGTCAGCCCCAACGGGTTGATCTCTGACGAAATCTCAGCACGAATACAGGGGGCTCGTTTCGCATATGCCTATCAGTTTACGCCGACTCTGGCGTAGACGAGATGTTCGACTATCGACCAAAGGGCGGGTGTACCGCTCATCAGTCCGCTCCGTCCTCCTTTATGGTTGTGAGCTAGACCTGGCCACTGAGAGTGGAAGACATGAAAAGACTAGCTGTCTTTGATCATAGGTGCCTGCGCTCTATTTCCCGTGTAAAGTGGCATAATAAGGTGAGCAACATTGAGGTTAGGCGTAGAGTTCTAGGTAAACAGGGGAAATCAATCAAAGAAGTCGTGAAGCTACAAAGACTGAGATGGTTAGGACATGTGTTACGTATGCCAAGCCATCGCCTCCCTCGACGAGCAATGTTAGCGGATATAGGGTCAGGCTGGAAAAAAGCTAGCGGCGGTCAAACAAAAACATGGCTTCACCAGTCAGTGAAATCCACAACAGTTGGTCTAAGCCACGTAGGAAGGTGTAGACTTCCTGACTGGTTGGGGTCCTCGGGACGGTAAAAATCTATGGTTGGAAACAATTGGTGACATGGCTAGCTCAAAATCGTTCTCAGTGGCGCAGATGCATCCACTTCTTGTGACTTATGATCTCCAATGAAACTGTTTTGGTTTTTCTTTATTACTCCTTTGTCTCACACCTCTGCTCACTGTATCTATTATGCTTTTCTTGTATTTTCTTCTCTTGCTTCGCGTGCTACACGGAGTGTGGCGACTTGAACATCCGCACATGTGTGCAAAGTTCTATGTCGAAAACAGACAGAGACAGACTGACATTTCCTTCAGAATATTTGTTGAGCAGTAGATTCTTGGTTGGGTTTGTCCCCATAGTTTCTTGAGGCTGATTTTTTCTGGCTGGTTACTTTTTCCTCAATATGGACCGATGGCATCTGTTGGTAAATATTATGGTACACCATAACTATGGCAATCTTGTGGTTATGTTCGTCAGCAAGAACTATTCAATTGTAGGTATAGGAGAAGGGATAAAAAAGAAAAAGTTTGGCAAGTTCATCATCGAATTTCTAAACAGGCTCCTGTCTTGACTCGGAAAAAATCTGAATAAAGCTATAGACAGCTCCAATATACTAGCTCACGTTCACGTTGATATTGGACATCAAGTTGACCGTAGGAAAACTTGTAAACTTTCTTGTGGTATTTCACTTAACCTTTAGACACAGTATACGAATACGATTTTTTATATAGAGCAGAGGTAATTGGAGTTCATCAGAACAAGCTGTGTATGTGGGTTCAAAGAAATTTGTAGAGTTGTACAAACGTATAAATGAAAACAAAACACGTAGATCAGCAAAGAGTCTATTTTCGGCGGCGAATTCATTTTCTTAGCTGTACAATCACAAATATATACTTGTGTATTATTTTGTATGTATGTGTACATTATGTTTGTCAAACAAAGTTACAATTGGTTAAGGTTACTTTTAACTAAACAGGTGAAGATTGGTAATACAAGTCAAGAAAATTAAGTGTTCATGAAACTAGGGTAGTTAGTAACAAAGGTGATGAGTTGTCACAAACAGTTGTTAAAAGAAGTTATGTAATAATAATAATATGAGTAGTTTGATGAGTGAGTTTTACTCAGTCAGGATACACATAGGAACAAACAGGAGAATACGAAATTACGTAAGAGTTCTTAGTGAATACAAGAATTATAAGCAATCTGATGCTCACTAGTGACTGGCCCTATTCACGCAGTTAACCTGAGGTTCTAGTGGGAAGCCGTGACCAGTAGGGTACAGCAGGTTGAAGATGAGGCAGTAACTCATCGAAGAAGACATTGCGAAGTGGTCGCGCTATGTCGTGAACTGGCAGAAGTTAGAATTCAAGGACCACTGGATCGGGTCTCTCTGGCTTAATGGTATACGAGCTCGCCTTGTAACCAGAAGGCCCTGGGTTCGAATCCCGGTGGGTGCGTACTGTGAAGAGTCCCAAACTAGGACGAAACAGCTGTCCAGTACTCCCTGGTTTTCCAGTGGTTCTCTAACTGATGTCAGTCAGCTCATGATTAAATCCTCCATGCAATTAAAGAACAGCCAAAGAAACAAAATTAAGTCATCAAAATAAAAACTCAAAACATTGTTACCATGTGAGCAGAAGTGGTTGAGTAATCTTCTTTTGTATGCACAGCTCCGGTTTTTCCATGTGAATAGCCAGAGCTTCAGCGATACAAAGGAGACGAAACCGTATTGCCTTTGATAGGTTATTCTTGACTCTGTAGATTACTTTGAAGGAGGCGTTTGCTGAGATGGAATGATTAGTGTTAACCAGGTGTTCAATTATCACACTCCTTATTGCCCCACTACTGCCTTTTCGCAACCATGCTGGATAGTGTTCTTAAATCCTCTTGTACAGGATGCGCGTCGAACGACTGATGTACCTAGCTCCACAGCAGCATGTGAACTGATATATGCCCACAGAAGTGGTCAAATGTGGGATCTTGTCCTTGAGGCTTCTGCAGATCAATGGGCGACTGGAAAACACTATTCTCAGCGTTTCTGCAAAGAATGTTCTCAGACATGATGTAATCCTTCTCTTGCGAATACCGTTTCCTATATCTCCCTTGAAATCCAAGTTCATGTAGAATTTCTTTTTAGGCACACTTGTATTCATTCAGAACTCTTACGTAATTTCGTATTCTCCTCTTTGTTCCTATGTGTATCCTGACTGAGTAAAACTCACTCATCAAACTATTCATATTATTATTACATAACTTCTTTTAACAACTGTTTGTGACAACTCATCACCTTTGTTACTAACTACCCTAGTTTCATGAACACTTAATTTTCTTGACTTGTATTACCAATCTTCACCTGTTTAGTTAAAAGTAATCTTAACCAATTGTAACTTTGTTTGACAAACATAATGTACACATACATACAAAATAATACACAAGTATATATTTGTGATTGTACAGGTAAGAAAATGAATTTGCCGCCGAAAATAGACTCTTTGCTGATCTACGTGTTTTGTTTTCATTAATGCCCTGAATAGGGATTATCCGTGAACTGAAACGATATATATATATATATATATATATATATATATATATATATATATATGTATATGGCGTTCCCGAAATGTGTATCAACTTCATTCAACAGCTGGCTATATGACATTACCACGTGTCAACTGATCCTTAACACAAATCTCAGTGAGGCGTTTGAAGTGAATACAGTAATAAGACAAGGTTGCTGCTCACTATCACCGATAATATTCTTAATTGTAGTGGATTGGATTTTACGTCAGACTGTGCATGGGAGTGAGAAGACAGCGTCAGGAATACGCTGCACTGACCGATAAGAAGACTCTGAAAGATCTGGATATCGCAGATTTGAAAACTTACAGGTGAAAACCAACACACTGGCTGAAGAAGCAGGCAGTCAGCGAAAACAGGACTCCATGTGTATGATGAAGGTACCTACACGCCAACAGCAACAACCAGCACTAATTATAAACGGAAGGGAACTAGGCAGCCAGAATTCTTTCAACCACAGGTGAAACGGATGAGAATGTGAAAGCTTGTCAGAATCAGAAAGGCAAGATACACCTTCATCAAAATGAAATCGGTTTGAAAATCTTCTGCGCTCCGCAGCATAAGAAAACAAGTTTTGGGATTTTTAACACCAATGTTAAGTCAGTTAGCTTTTCTATATGGATCAGAGAATTGGATCACGTGTCATGAAAATGGTTTCCAAAAGATTGTAGACTTTCATCAACAGCTGCCACCTTCTCTGACTCCATATTGGAAATCAAATGGCCAACCAGGATCAAACTAACCAAGAACTATTATTATGAAACAGCTGTGCAGTACTCTTTACATTTCAGTACCTCTCTGGCTGACATTAATCGGTGATCAAAACTTGA